ACCACACCAGAACTCGTCAAAGAGACAAGTGAAGCCGATCCTTTGACCAAACATGTGAGAAACAACACCCCCCCCCATTAACGTCGTATACAAACGAAATGACTGCAGTACAAAGCGATTCATCCGTCCTCTTCTGGTGAGATCGACCAACGAATCGCTTCTTCATGCAATTTCATACAAAATGAAAGTAAGCCCAACAGTGTGATAAACAGTTGTGGGCTATTCACCTATCCCATATCCTCGTATCACCCCTTCAATATAACAATTTATTATTTGCTTATCTAAACCTATTTGAAAACTATTCACACTCCCCGCTGGTTTCCTCATCCCACCCACTGTGCCGGGAGTGATGATCCAAGGCTGCGGCATATTCCTCAATCCTCTCCTTTCGGTTGCTATCACAGTGTCCTCTTGCTCCGTAGGATCCTTCCCTTGTCTTCCTGTTTCAGTGATTTCACCCCATCGCTGCCACCAGATACGTACTACTTTCAAGGCGTTGTCCCACACTCTGCCTCCGCACGTGTACACCAGCCTCACTGAGCAAACCACTAAAGTCTGGATTCTCATTTTGGCATGGCAACCTAGTTTGACACTGCAGATTCCCTCCTCGCTGTGCGGCATGTGCACCAAGTACACTTCGTGGTCAAGACTTTACCTCATGGACCACGTCTATGAGCCGACTTGTCTACCAATAACCAACTAGAAATGACCAGCACCGTTTTTCTCGCTGTTCTGTGACATTTTATGGCGTGTCAACCCCCAAATCTGATAGTTCTATTTGATTTAAATCGGAAACCAAGACAAAGTGTCTACAGCGAGTCTATTCAAATAGAGTCATCCAATTTTGGGGTTGGCATGCGATAGAATGTCATAGAAGAGCGAGAGAAACGGTGCTGGCCGTTTCTAGTTTGTTGTTGGTAGAGAAGTCTGCTCATAGACGTGGTCCATGAAGTAAAGGCTTGACGACGAGATTTACTCGGTGCACATGTCGCACAGCTATGAGGGAATTTGCAGTGCCATGTTAGGTTGCCATGCCAAATGAGAATCCATACTTTAGGGGTTTGCTCAGTGAGGCTGGTGTCTACGTGCTATGAAAAGGTTGAGGCAGAGTGTGGAACAGCGCCTTGAGTGGGGCGGATACGATGGCAGCGATGGGGTGAACTCACTGAAACAGGCAGACAAGGGAAGGATCCTACGGAGCAAGAGGGGACTGTGATAGCAACGAAAGGAGAGGATTGTGGATTAAGCCGCAACCTTGGATCATCACTCCCGGCACAGTGGGAGGGGTGAGGAAACCAACGGGGAGTGTGAATAGGTTTCATATAGCCTTACATAATCAAGTGAGAAATTGTGATATTGAAGGGGTGATACGAGGATATGGGATTGGTGAATAGACCGGGACAGAAGGAGAGGTACCACAACTGTTTAGTACACATTTGGTCAAAGAGTTGTAGTGTTTAGCTAAAATGGAAAGACCCGCTGACGATGCCGGTGAAACGTCTTGGCATGTGCCACGTCCACGATTCGACTCTCTGAATGATCATGCATAGTATGGACTCCGGAAGGGTTCTTTCGTCTACGTCTTCCTGCAAATATGACCAAGTTGCAAAAACTGAGCAAGACTGCTACCATACAAAAGTCCACACTATCCTGGTCTTCATATCTTCGTTTAAAGATGTAAATTTATTTAGCACATTTAACATGAAAAACCGACAAAAAAATATTAAAACTAGCTCTGGATTACTTGATTTATCAACTCTAGACACTGCCTGATCTATTTGCCTCTTTTGGTGCCGGGATCATCTCCCGAGGACAATTTGGGATATGCTATCACTAGAGAAGATATAGAAATAAACCAAATAGGAAATATCGGCAAGAAGATAAGTAAAAACAATTTGGACTTAATTAATAGAGTGAAGGATAGAGAGAGAATTGAGCCGCCTGCAAAAAGGAGGCAACGCAACTAGTCTTTTATTTTATTTTAAGAATTAAGTATTGTTTTCGTGACCACCAGTAAATCAGTAGTATGAGACGTATTCACCCAATTTCCTTTAAGGTGATGAAGGACTGGTAGAAGAAGAAGTTGAGCTGACGTTTCTATTGAATTTCACATAGCCTTGCTTTCCCAAAATTTGTTCTCATCCAGGGTGGACTGCATCTCATATTACTGATTTACTGGTAGTCACGAAAACAATACATTATTCGAAAAAATAAAAGTATAATTGTCGATTGTTATAGCAGATATACGTTTGCTTCATCA